ACTTGAGGTTGTATGAGGGCAGATGTTACTGCTGGAAAAGCTTGAGGCAGATCTGGAGTTGTTCTATAGCTTCTGATAGATTCAAAAAAGAACCCTCCGTGCAGATATTAAAGATACTCATTGATAACCACCCTTCAACCTCTGCACATGTACCATGTAGAAAAAAATCTGTCACATTTGTCACTTGACAGGAGGATAAATTTGCTTTGATATTTGATGTGATTGCGTGACTGCCTCAAAAGTGAGTCTCCAGATTCAGAATTTCTATGGCATTTATACTTCATTTCTCTAAGCCATATACCCAAGTCTAGAATAAGGAGTGATAATGAAAAATCCTAATGATCTATTTGACATAATTATCTATGATTTTACACAAAAATGCATCATTGTCTCTAACATTAGAGGCAGGAAGATAAAGCATAATTTCAGAGGTGACAGGTAAGAGGAAAGGTTATCATCTGTGCGGATGGAGGTATTGTGATATGATTTGACTGGTGCCCACAATAGCTGCCTGCTACTCTGTGATATGATCTGGAATCCACAGAAATAGGGATGACTTTATATATCAGCTACAGTCATGTTGCACTGCTACACCCTGTACTTGAAAGCCAGCACATCTGAGCTGGCCTGTCAGCTGCATAGCAGCTCTGGGATGGCCCTCCTGAACCATTTACGAGTCAGAGAATACACTGCAAATCCTACATTACATTGAAACACAAAAGCCATTTTGTGTTGCTGCTTTAGTTTCTCCACCCTGAGCCTGACTTAGAAAACCAAGATGTATAACCACACATATCAACCTAGAACTTTGCCCTACAATGCATTGTCTCAGAAAGTCTCTTTTCTCTCTCCTGTCAGTCCTTAGCGGTGCTGTTGCCAGGTGAGTGGCTGTGTTATTCACGGACGTCTGTGGCTATCATCCCACAGAAGTGTGTCTGTTTCTGTCCTTGACTCATTTTTTCTTTCTCCCTTTCTTTTTTTCTCTCTTTCTCAGTCTTAGTACCAGCCAGACCTTTTCTGTTTAACTCTATTCTTTTATCCCTGAAACACTCAGAGTGCTATTCACAGAAGATGTGTCTGCACCGGAGGAACACACCTAGAGAGCTCAATGCCGTGTAAAAGGACGTGCTTCCGGAGAAATTTCACATCCAGACAGCACTGCTGTCCTTCACTTCAGTCAGTAACAAAAGGCAATCTTTCTTCCTTTTGAATGTTTGATAGAGGTAGTTCAGGCAATGAGCAAAATGACTCTCTGAATGTGCGTCTTGACAGATATAAAAATGATCGTAAAAAGAGACCATAGCAAACACTGACTGAAAAGTCAGACTTAACACTGACAGTATTTTTAATGAAAATCTATATAAATATCAGATCCTATACACATGGATAAGATAGGCTTATTTTCATAAGAACAGGTTGATAAAGCCTGGATATTCTATCAGCAAAGAAATTAACAGTATAATTACATACACCCTGAAACATTTCCATTTAGCATTAAGTGTTACAGCTCTAACCACCTATTTTTCATGCTTTTCCTCTCACAATTTACTTTCCAGTGGCTGCATGACAATAAGTTTATTAGAATAGTAACTAATACAGACATAGAATTTTATAATTGTTCAACACCTGAATATTAGTACTTCCTCTTTTACATACGGACACTGGTTAAATGATTTGCCCAACATGGGTTGGTTTGCAAATTCAGAGTTGAGATTCAAGTAGATATCTTCTGCCTCTTTTGTTTTTCCATTGTGACAACATGCCATTTCTGAATGACATCTGTTTGACTAAGAAATTACAGGAAATATCATATCTTTCAGCTCCTCTTGGATCATTTCTACCCTAAACTGAGGTTCAAATTTCCCCCAAATCTGCACTTCTTCCTTTCTTTTCCCATAAAGCTACAAGTGACTTAAATGTTGAATCAGAAACTGACTCAAATTTCTATTCTAAAACACCACCCGGAGATACTTGCATATGTACATATTTTACCCTGGAAAGTGGATTTAATGTGTACTATTAACATATGCATAACATATAAACATATCTTAAATTATACTTGAGAGTGTACCAGTATAAATAAAACAATACTTTTACAGAATAAAAGTAACTATGGAAACCTTTAGATTCAAATCATTCTGCCTCCCAGGTGGTGGCAGTAGCTCCCAGTTGCCTCAGTAATTTTCTATTAAAATGTGTCTCAAACACACATACATTTTGGGGGAGCATTAGCTGAATTTTCTATTTAATGTTTTCAATTTGATTTTGCCTTTGTGTGTTAATGACAAAAATAATCTGATCACACAAAATTTGTTGGGTCCGGCGGTTTCATGGCCTCCATCTTATCTTCTTGTTTTTCAGAGTGCTGCCTAAGTTTGGAGGTCTGCCCTTTGATACCCATCAGTCAGGATGAATTATAATGGAGCTGGGAGATAGGAGATGGTTTTAGTAAAACAGCCCCTCTCATGCTGTCTATCAAAGATTAGCCATCCTGACCAGGCCTGTCAGTCTCACCTTTCTCCAAATCTGCCCAGTGCAGATGGTTTCATTTAAGGTAATGGGAAAAACAACCACAATTTGCAACATCCCCCTAAGTTTGAAGTGAGGCTGAATTCCATAATGAGGTCAAAGCCTGAATAGATTTGAGGGAAGGATCACTATTATTTTATAATGGGATGAGAAATAGCAACAGTGGCAACTTCAAGAAATATTTATTGTGCACTCACAATATGAAGGCAGAGATAACAGGTAGATGAGACTAGTTTCTGCCTTCCACGTATGATCTAGTTGAATAGAAGTAGGTGTGCGTGTGTATAGATGTAAGTATAGATGATAAAGTTCATAAAGATACTAGACATAAAAGGTTCTTAGTGTGTGAATGAGTTAAAAGAAGTCTTGTTACAGGAGTGTTGCGATATCTGACTGTTACATAACTTGGAAACAGAAACATTACAGGGAGAATAAACAGGTTATCTGGGGTAAAAATCATGTGTAGAAGACTATGTGGACTTCAGACTGAGTAGACAAAATGAGATGATATTGAGAAACCCTAGTTTAGCAAGAAGTCTGTTTTGAATTTAATAATCAAATGAGAATCACTAAAGTTTTTTGGAAGGGAGTACAGTAAAAATTAATTGCAATTTAAAAGGCAGTTGCCAGACTACTGAAAAAAGCAGTAGAGACAAGGATAAAGATAGATAAGCAAGAAAAAATGAAGGCCAGAATTATGGTAGATGCACAGAAATGGCAGAAAAAAGTGAAGAGTACTATGAAGACAGAATAATGACATTGGCAACAAATTGAGTACAGGAGGTAAAAAAGAGAGATGAATGAACAGTGTATGGGTCATGAATGGAAGTGACAGTAGCACAAATAATGAAGTCATTCATTCATTCATCAAGTATTCACTGAAGACTTACTTTAAGCCAATAGTGTTACTTTTGCCACACACTATAGTAGGATCTGAGAGTGGTACAAGAACTGGTTTAGTGAGATGATGGGTTTAATCGAAAGTCCCAGAAGAACATTAAAGCCCCCAGTTGTTGACAGAGATCTGTATTTTAGCAGAATAATTGGGTTGGAATTATCTGTACCAAGGGAGGTCATAGTTGAAACTGTGGAAAGGGGCGCGCGAGATCAGTGAGGTAGACTTTCCATTGAAGTAGAGAAGTTCTCAGAAAGAAGAGAGCAAGTTTAAGAACAGATGTGAGGGGGGAAGAAACAAAACACTAGGCTGTACTTAGAATCGGGAGGAACAGAACCAATAGCAAAGAGATGGCCAAAAATAAGAAAGAGGGAGTTGAGACACTGCTGCCTCAGGGAAGAAAAGCAGTTCTCTAAGCTGCACAAGGTCTTGGATATTCTGTAGCATCAACTTTTCAATGAGAGTCAGAAGAGTGAAACTGGAGCATGGGCTACTGGACTAGGTTATGAGGCAATCCACTTCGAAAAGCCTCTGGTGAGTGAGGAGCTAGAAGCAGGATGTGGAAATGCTGAGAGGTATGGTTACAAAGAGATCAGTGGAAAGGTAGCTTGATGTGACAACAATATTTAAGAAGACTTTATGATTTCTGAGAGACTACTTTATGTCTTTCTTATAGGTAATGAAACAGACACAAATACATTAAGAAGCTTGCCTTATCTTACCCTGTTCATAAGTATTCATTTGAAGCCAGGTGGTCTGACTTCAGAATGTCTTGACTACTCTGTTATGGTGTGAGGCTAGGTGAGGCTTAGACAGGTTTGCGGGAAGAAAAGGGAGCATAATGAGGGATGAATACAGGTTGAAGCAAGGTGAAGAGGGGATGAGATAGGTGTGCCTCCTTTCTGGAAGGAGGCTGAAGATCTCTGGAACAGGAATAAGATGAGAGTGTCATGGAGAGCTCAGAGGTAAGCTCAGAGGTACACAGTTGGTGGGGCCTGCGTTAGGTGATTTCTCTCCGTTTTGGTAAAGCAAGAGATGAGGTCACTGGACCGCTAAAAGGCAATACTTGTTCCTAAAGTGTAGATTAGGGAAGCAGTTGGGAGAGGACACTACATAAACTCCATTATTCATGTTCTTTTACCAATGAAAGCTTATTCCACAGCGGAAAAGCCAGAGGCATTAGGAATACATAAATGTATTGACAAAATCTATCCAGATATACATATGCCTCTAGCACCAATATACATATTGGTGCTACAACAGAAGCACCAACAGCATTTCAGCTGTGCAGACCCCGGTGCTTGGTGGTCCATAAGAACTAAAAGGCAGTTTCTAATCTCAGATACTCTCTCTCTCTCTCTCTTATCCAAGTGGCTCTAATGGCAAAAAAGAACATAAAGTACAGCGCATGTAAATCAACAGCATATTGATGTACATTTTTCCTTTGTCATTTTCTTCCCTCTTCTAAGAAGTGTTTGCTATTTAAAATCTGTTACTAGGTGATAATATCAAAGCACATTTTTCTCTCTTCCCAAGTCAACCTTACACATTTTACTGTGTTTGCAAGTAAAAATACCTGTTGCCGTGCACATGAGAGGCGCAGAATGCAAAGCTGTAATGGAGCAGGGTTGGGTCAATGACAGCACCGTTTTCTGAATGTTCCATCAGTTCCGTAAGGTAGCAGAGATGCCTGTGACAGCCTCTCACCCCATAACGAGCACAGTACTCATCTAACACAAAGACTTGGCCAGGGCTAAACCAACCCTGCAAAAAAAAAAAAAAAAAAAAGATTTTTTCTTTCTGTAGTATGATCTGCTTTTCTGAAGACCCTGTTAGGCATTATGAAAAGAAGCTGAATTAAAGTGTCTTTTGACATTTTAAAGTTAGTAATACGTTCCATGATATTTAAAAAAACCTCCAGTGTTTTCAGTTTGGAACTGATTTGGAACGCTGGCAACCTAATACCATCCTCTCTTTATGGTGTGACAGGCACAGGCAACCTGTTCTCCACTGTCATTCAAAACCTAGTCAAATTTATTCACGGTACCTACATTTGCCAATCACAAAAGTGATATTCCAAATAATTGCAACCTCTGTTTGAATCAATAAAGAAGAGAATGGTAAAGTAGATGCTATAATTGAAATTGCTTAGTTACTGAAAGTGTTTTATAAAGTGAACTAAAAGACAATTTCGGTTTAAGTTTAGCAGTGGTAAACATGGACTACTTGAATATTTAAATATTTCAGATACTATTTTCATTATATGACAAATATAACAAAGTTAATGCTTTTTGAATAAAATGTTTTGATGAATCATATGGATTTATATAGATTAACAAGATAAAAAAGAATAAAAAGGTGGGAATAGAGAGTTTTAAAAGGGGGCAGGATAATCAGCAAGAGAAATGAAAGAATGGAGAGAAATGTAGAAATATGACCTGCAATAAAGAAAAGGAGGGGGAAGAAATGAAAGAACACTACAATATTTACTACAATGATGGTACAGGCATGAGACGAGACATACTGCATACATTAATATTTAGAGCCAGTATGCATGGTTGTTATTATAATATCCATGTTATATATATACAAGCTGAAGTTAAGAGAGGTTCAGTGAGTTGCTCAAGACCACGAGATGACTCAGTTGAGCCGTGACTTACACCCAAGGTCATCCTGCCTCCAACTTCTCTTTCTAATATGCTCACTGCCCTCTAGGTGCCACTGAAGACACACTGTAGTGTTCTCTTCAACCTCCATATGACACATGGAGTCACCCACTAGCAGCTTTTGACAACTGGGTAACTAACTCAATTGAATGGAATCCAAGAGCAAACGGCTCCCTACTGATGTTCACTCTATGTGTCCCTGGAAACATGTTTGACTTGTTATGATTTGTTTTACTCCCCATGTTATTGTAAGTTAGGGTTGGGTCAGGTTTAAACTATATAATTACATGTTGAATAATAGCTACTTAATAGTTTACAAATGAATTAATAATCCAGCAGTATGATCTTGATGATAAGTTATTTTACTGAAATACCTCTGATGAACTGGGAGTACATCCTTTTTGAAATCTTATTTTAAAGAGAATGTAACTTTATTGCATGGAGCTACCACCTTCAGCAAGAAGAGACCAAATAGTGATAGAAGTAGGCTTCTTCTGGCTGGGAAAATTCCAGAGGAATTGCTACCAACAATATAAATCCTTGGATAGACACATGTGATTCCTAGGTTGTAGTTAAATGCCCGTATTCTAAGGAGTCAAGCAAGCCTTCTAGAATTCAATTATACTTTGTATCCCAGATATTGGCTGGTTTCAACAAATAGCAGATAGCAGTTTAACTAGGCAATTTAACTAATTTTTCTTTCTTTTTTAAGAAATTCAAATTATCTTTTGAGAGTTAGATGAAACTGAAGCTTCCTGGCTATATGTAGCCCCTGTTCTATTATTTATCCCAATGATTCTGTCCCCTGAAACTTAGGTTGTCTTTCTAGGAACAAAAAAGAGAAATGAAAAATATACCAACATTTGGTGAACAGAACGTAAACCTTTAAATGTCTGTACAGGTGTCAGTAAATCCTATCACAGAGGATTTTTCGTTGAAGCCTCTATTTTCATTCAGCCTTCTCCAGGGGGACTGAGAAGCCACAGTTCAGAGGCTGTTTGAGCCTATTCTCTTGTCTATTGAGTGGCACAGCAGTGGTCTTCAAGTGTATAATTTTCAAATTGGGAAGCAATCGATTGGAATCCTTCATCCCTAACTCCAACTACAGTTATTAAACGAGTCAGGAATAAAATGCCATTTCATAACAAGCATTTCTCACTTTTAAACCTCTTTAATTCTAACCCATGGGGGACTAGACAGAAGACTTGTACTCACCAAACAAGAATAGGAATCATTCAGTCTGTGATCTAAAGTCTGCCTCTGGAGTATTCTAAAAAGGAAGGCGTGATCAAGCTTGCAAGGATTTGCAGAAATAAACTCATCCATACCATGTTTCTGAAAACGGTCTGCATCTGTAAATTCAGAAAAGCATGTATAGTGCATTATTTTTCTGGTCAGACAGTGGGCAAATGCAATTTATAAAAACCATGAAATGCATGCCTCATAAAAATGAAAGACTACCTTATATTAAATAAAATATGATTTTAAGAATTCAGTATATGAACATAAATTGCAATTTTTAGGGCAGTCTAAGTAAAAACAACAGGGAAAAATTTGTAAAATATTTGAAATGAGGAAGTTGTATTTTCTTTCAAAGGCACTTCTGATATTCTGACAGAAATAATCTTATTTTTCAATTTTAAGAAAAGTTGATAAATTTTCAGTACATATTGATGGAAGGAAATGACTGGAAAAGAGCCCAAGTCTGTTCATAAAAAAAAATTGCAATGATGGCTAGAGGCCTGCTTTCCAAATGGCAAACTAGGGCAGAAATGAACACACAAGCTTTAGCTGAACCACTTCCAGTCCTTTTTTTTTTTTTGTATGGAGCTTTTAATGGGACCAACCTTAATGTAGATATGGCAATGATTGCTCTCAGCTTCAAGTTTAAGAGACATGAAAAAGGGAGCATCATGTTTGTGCAAATATTCAGACAAAGCATAACGTCCCACATGGCACTTCAGTCAAAGGCCCAAAGTCACTGTTCTTTACAGATTGCATCTTTCAACGCCTGTAGACCCTGCGGGTTTATCAAAAGGCAAGCTTTTATGATTGCTTTCATTAATGGTATGTTTTGTCAGTTTTCAATGTGACTTATTTACTAAGGATACAGAGAAAGAGCCACGTGCCACCCCGAAAAAGTGCTGGGTGTTACTACATTAGCTCTGTTAAAAACGTTGCGTGTATCGGTCAAGCAATCAGTTGTTAAGATAAAAGTGGACTGTCCTCACAATGGTAGAGCTGAGGACCCATTGTTCCTTAAAATTCACAGATAGATTTAATTTCTGGTCATAACAAGAAGCAGAGTCCTAAATGTAAAATAAATGTGGTTTTTAAAACCTAGATGGTGCAATGCTAAAACTGCAAAGGAAAGGAGACAAAAGTTTATTGACTAAACCCAATTATAGAGTCAGGCTCATAATAAAACTAAATATTGATCTGTGGACATGATGCTAACATAATCAGTCACATTTAGATATTTAGCCCAGATCATATTGATCCATGTCAAGTTCAACTTTCAGCCATATTTGTGGATGGAAGGACCATATAATTCAAGCTGAAGGGCCTTCAGAATCACATTTAAAAAAAGATACACAAACTAATATATATCTTACAATATCAAAAGGTAAATGTAGCAAGCAACAAATGGCCATTCATTGATGATGGAAGGTATAAGGTTATAATCCATGGAGAAAGTAGCATATGTATTCCTTTACATTTAATACTAACCTGAATGGTTAAACACATCACATGTGCTAAATTAGTATTAATTAGATGAACACTAAGCTAAATTGCTTTTCCTGAACTCTGGAATAAGAGAATTCAACTCATCTTATATTTTATTCTTATGCCCTACAGACTTTTAATATAAAATTAAACATATGATAACATAAAATAACATCAATTGAATAGGAGGCAGAATATGGAAAAATGCAGGGCACATGTAAAATCAGAAGATTTCATTTTATTGTAAAGAATTTATCTTAGAATCTATATTTCTCACATTTATCTGAGTAAAAATATTTTAGTATCACTTTTATGAAATTAAATTCTAGTTTTATAAAACATCTGCTGATTTTTATTCATTATTTTTTTCACCAGAAAAGGTTATAACAAGAAGTTAAAAATAACACCCAGTAATGGGTTATCTGTTGAAAACATGATATGTAATATATTTCAGAGAAAAAAATCTACAATTCTGTTTTAACTATAAAGGTTTGTAGAAGTAAATTTCTATTTTAAAGAAGAGGTATACAGTCTTTAATTAAAATATACAAGTTCCTGGAAAAATGACTCTCTCATTCATTTCTATAATTCATCATATTTTAAATATATATTTATGAAGCATTTTCCTCATGAAACATAACTGTAAACCATAAATTTACTAATGTGACAAGCCTTTCTGAGTCACAAACATAAGTGAAAAATTACTTTTCGAACCATTAAGTTTAGTGATAAAAATAATATTCTTGATAGTAATTTCAGTCACAAATATAGATTCTATAGTGACAGTGAGAAACCAAACACACTAAAAATTTTATTAAAACAAAGACACAAAAAAACAAAAACCCTACAATTTCTCCAGATTATAATTCTATGAAAGTAAATTATACTCTTAGGGATTATTCCAACTTCAAAACAGAGACTGTAAAGACCAAGTTTCTCAACTTCTTCGTTCCTATGTCTGATAAGGATAATCCAAAATATTTTATGCAAAGATACTTCATCATGTACAATATACCATTAGTTTCCATGAATTTATGAAGATATAAAAATAAATTAAAAAGGCAACGGTTTTGATTTCCTTGTGTGAGAAATTTTTCACTTTAAAATTCTCTCATGAATTAAAGTATGATAGAAAACCAGCTATCATTAAAATATTATCTACTCTCTTATTTTTATAAAAGAACAAGTCTTATTAAGAATTCTTCATTTATTTTTTAGAGGGGTGAGAGAGAGAGAAATGTCATTTTTTTGTTCCACTTTATGCATTCATGGTTGATTATTGTATGTGACCTGACTGGGGATCAAACCCACAACCCTGGCATACAGAGAAGATGCTCTAATCAACTGAGCTATCCAGCCAGGGCCTGAAAGAATATTTTTATATAGTTTTCTATGGGCATAACATATCTACACTTATCTCTTAGGAAACAGAGATATATAAATCAAATGGAAAACTTGCTTTCAACTATTAACATAAAATTCAAGGCTTGGAGATTTGCTTTAAAACTGGGCTATACTGGGATATCTTCAATTAATGTTTAACAGAAAACATTTTAAATAAAAAACTATTCATGGCACTAGTCAAATAATCACTGATAATGACACATTTCAGTTCAGTTTATCTTCTGAAATTATTTAAGAAAGTTATCAAAAGAAACCAACAAGATATGAGCTTTAGAAGATGTAGTATGAAACTGTCATAAATTGAGATGATTAACCTATGGACTAAGTACAGACGTGCAACATGGTAATTGAGGATACTGGTGGAGAGTTTCTATGGTAACAGTTGGATACATGCTCCCACGTCTTTAGGTAGTACTGTTACCAGGTGTGGTAAAAGTATATGAAACAAAAACCAAAGGGAGGAAGACTACTATTTGCTACAGATTTAAGGAATTATAACAGCTTTATTCAAATGAAACCTGAGAATTCAAATTTTTTCATTAGGGTAATAGCTTCTGGAAGTCAAGAAAAAATAATAAATAGTCGGACAGTATCCATTAGATAGTTAACACTGATTTGAAATAGTTGGCATGGAAAACAACATGCAGAATATCAGTAAGCCAGCAGCCTCCCACTGTGGTCATGAACCAAAATTCCTGAAAGGCATCTGAGTCAGATTTCAAAATAGAGGCAGAAAAAACATTTAACTAAATCTTTTTCTCTTTCCCTTGCAACTAATTCAAAAGATGCTGCATTTTTCTCTGCTTCTGGTATTATGAGAGATTAGAGATGTTTTTAAAAGGGAAAAGGAAGGAAAAAGATTTGGGGGAAGGGGCAAGAAGACCACTGGAGAAGAGGTGGCCATTCACTAGCACTGAGACTACTTGAGCATCCAGATCTGGGACTAGAGTACCAAAAGGACTCGGAAGATGGTGCTGCCAGCTAAAGGCTACCTCCTCTGCAAAACTGCTGAACAGGGCAGCCATGAACATTCTCAAGCACAGTAACTTAGTTTAAAGATGTCCAATGTTTAGGAGCTTGCCTGGAGCTGCATTTACTGCTACCCATACCTGATTATACTTTCCTTTTAGCTCAAACTCTCACTGAGCTTGAAAATTTACAGGAAGTTAAAAGTGGCATTGAGAAGCACACACCTCCTCTCTTTATAGCACCCACAGAGTCACTAATAGGAAGAGTTTACCATTAAGATTTCAAGTAGATCGTCCTGCTTGGTATTTTCATGTTTTATGTATGCATTTTTATGCTGAAACCAATGAGAAATGTTGATACCTATATTAACTAGAAGTTTACTCACACCTCTGTTATTGACCTAAATAATTTTTGAGCTTGTTTTTGTTAAATTGATTAAAAAATGGATGTATGAATTTACACATTTTGCTTTCTGCGACAAATAATGTATTATTTTCACATGATGGCAATTTTAATCAACACATACACAGGCCAAGTAAACCAATATTCAATGCTTATTTAAAATAATATATTCGATGTAAAGTAAGACATACTTTACCTATGAACTATGAAATTTAACTTAGTAAATCAATCAGAAAAATTGGCTTATGTAATTAAATCTGTATTTATACTCTAATTTAAGAATTAAAAATTGGCTAATAATTGAAAAGAAGGTAACTTTTCTACCATCTTAATTTATCACTGGATAATTTATTGACATTAATTTATCACTGGAAGAGGACTAGCACTGTGTTGGGCTGTATCATGTAGCACAGACACTGTTATGCTCTATGCATCAGTTCAGAGAAAAAAATGGAAAACAAGGTTCTTGCATATTTCTTCGATCGGAGATGGCAAAGAAGGATAGTTTAACCAAAACATGTCTTCCAGTCAGGCGAAAGGCAGTGTTCACCCTATCTCAGAATTTCTGTATATCTTGAAAGTCAAAGAAATAGAGAAGTGGAATAGATTCTCTTATCAGAACAATCTATAAATATGTGCCATTATTGACATCCTAAAAATTACAGTAGGCTTCAGTTCTAATAAGTTCGATTTTATAAATTCATTGTTTTGTTCTGACTCTTCCAAAACAATCAGTATGCTTAGTTTTAAAAACGAGCTTTTTTTTTGAAGTCATAACATAGGAAAACTCAGGAGAGAAAATGAATTAGTAACTAGTTCCTCTGATTAAATTCATCCACTGTGAATATTTTAGGTATAATTCTACCCACAAATTACTTAGTGAAAATATATCACATATATAATTTAGGATTTTACCACTTCACCTTATTGAGAATTTTTTTGGCATTCTATTATATCACCTTCATAGTCATTACCTTTATGGTAGATAATAGGTTGTTTCTACTTTTCTGTTGTGGCAATAGCAGATATTTTTGTTTCATAAATAGTAACATTAACCTAAATATTCTGGGTTTTACCTAGAAAGCAGGAGACTGACATTGTAAACAAGGTCATGATAGTACTTCACATAGTATATTATTACAAAATTTTTATACAGTGAAGCAAAAGAAAAATCATGAAAATACTTACCTTTACCAGCTGTCAGTAAGCAAAGAAATGAAAAACAAAGCATTTTTAAGTAGGCTGGGAACATATTTATTTATATAACTAGTCACATTAATTTTATTATTTTCTTGGTGTCTACTAATGACTCTAAATGTTATTCTTCCAAGAGATAAACACTAGGGGCCCAATGGCATCTCTGATATAGGTCACACTCAGGATTCTCGTTCATATGAGGTAGAAACATATTCTCCTTCCTTCTTTTCTTCCTTCCTTCATTTTTTTCTTTTTAAAGGAAAATAAAAAGATTACAGGGTCTGCTGTAACAGAAAACTTTACTAAAAGTATGGAACACACAAAAGCTGTTGTTAACACAACTGAAACACTCTGGCTTTTTAAGAACAAGTTTAGCTTTTTCAGAAGTTAATCAAGGGGAAAGAAAATTCCATTTCAATTAGCCTTGACAACAATACACTGGTATCTAATAGTGGAAGGTTTAACCACAAAGAGATTACATGGCTATCTAAATAATCTAAGGATCATTAGATCCTTAATTCATTAACTCCTTAGCTGTGGCCTTAATGCTGTAGGCCATTGGTTCCTGATCACTATTCTTGCCTCTATGTGCAGGATGGATGATATCCATGAGCTCAACACACTCCTTGGATATTCCTTGTACTTAGGATGTCAACAAAAGTGATTAAGTGAGATATTACAAAAATAATTTTCAAATCATTGTAACTCAGTAATACTCAAATGGAGGAATTCTTCTCCATCTTCAACCCTGCCCTCTTGAACATTTGGAAATGTTTGGAGATATTTTCGGTTGTCAGACCTAGGGGACGTGCTACTGGCATCCAGTGGGTAGAAGCCAGGAGTAATGCTAAATACCTTTCATAAACAGGAGAGACCTTCCACTGAAAGGTCCCCGAAACAAAGAATTATCTGGCTAAAAATGTTAATAGGGCCAAGGCTGAGAAATCTTCTAACTTGCAGGAAATAATCATTCTGCTTTTGGTCAGGTTGGTATAACTGAAAACAGATTTACCTTCTACTTGAAAGAAGTAAAAATTCAGAAAAAAAATAGTTCTCAAAACACTAGACATCAGGCAAGTTAGGAGACTGAGTCCTGAGAGACATGAAACAAATTAGGTGAGACTTGCAGTTACCCTAAAATAATCCCAGGAGAAACTTTCAAAGCTGTGGCACAGGAACGAGAGCTTAGGAAGAGCTTGTGTTCTCTGAGAGTTGAGAAGGTAGAGTTAGCAGTTCTGGGTGACAAGGTGGTTTAGCCTGCCGGGCAATGGTACTATTCCTGGCCCCACCTTCAACATTCAGCTGAATGCTAACCACCTCATGTGAGGCATCAACCTAAAGTCAGGGAAAGAATCATCCTAAGGGATTAGAGGGGACAGTGGCCAAAGTCGCACAGGTTTGGAACCCTTCTTCCCTAGGGAAGAATCTTGAGAGTAAAAGGGTGCTGATTGAAAAGTCACAGGCTGAGCTTCAAGTTATAGGCAAATTGACTTATTTCAGAAGAAACCAGAGAAGTTTTGCAAGGAAGTGTAACAAGTTAGAACATTTGGTCTGATGGCTGTAAATTTTGAAAATGTTTCCATTATTATTAAATAATTTTTCATTAATCATTTGTAAATTCAAATGAAAAATATAGATCTTTTACATTAACATACAAAAAAGACATGAATATTAAGGTATTTGAAAAAGAAAGTTGGCTTGATAACAAATTCTTTTTCTTTAGATTTTTAAAATTTAATCTTTATTGTATTTTTTCTGATTTACTCTTTTTTTAATCAATCAATCTACAATAGGAAATAGCCCTATTATCCTTTTAGGTTATGAAGAACAAAAGTAGAAAATGATGGCTCATCATTTTCGTTTTCTGAAATTCTATCCATGCCAACTTAATTTTGCAATACTTTCCTATTTCTAAAAGACACAGTTAAAAATACTATAGGACACGTAAGTTAAAATTTAAAAATTACAAAAGCTAACATACATTTTCTTTTGAGAATTTTTGGAAAATTTTCTTATCTGCTCTTGTGATACCCAGAGATACTCTGATACCTGGCAAATTCATGACTGGAAACCACTGCCATCATTCACTCCATATCAGTGTGAAAAATTAGATAACTAATTCTGTGACTATCATTATGAACTGTTTTTATTCAATTAGGAATCAGTTAAAGATGTAAACTGTAATACTAAACAAATTTGCCTCAAATAATTTTATATCTTATTAAGGTTATTAATTGATAATCAAATTATTTTTTATAAAACTTACAAAGCTGAGCATCTGCTTGAAGAGTTCCTCCTTTAGGATTCAGCTTCTGGGTTTGAATTGCGGGAACGGGTTTATATGATTGACCTGTGGCCCTGTACATGGCTTGAACCCACAGTATTCTATCCTGTTCATCATCACTGGCAAATATAACAGTGTCTCCTTCTTTAACAGCATTAAAGAACATCTGACCACCCTGAAGGCCTGTGGAGAGAGAAAAACATCATTAAAAACCTACACAATTGAAAGATTGTAATCTTATTCACTAAATAGTCTCTAGGAAAGGAAGAAATTTGTGATTAGTAGCTCAGTGCTTTAAATGATTTTTAGTTGAGGTTCAACACCCACAATCTAAGAACTGAAGGAGACACAATAAAGAAAGGTTTAAATTTCCATATCATTTTGGAAATTAAAACTAATTTAGAGAAATAAACAGTCCACAACACAGTAGCATTGTGTAAGACATACAAGCCTACCCTATAGAAATTCATACTACAGTCTGATACTTCACACCAGAGAAGAAATTGCTTACCTGTTGGCATATTTCTCACTCTATATGCAGGAGAGCTATATAATAAGCTTAGCCAAAAACAATACAGTTAAGGCAAAAACGATACTTATATTGTATGGCATTTTATCTTTTGCAGCATTCTTTCACAGAGAATATATTTTGCACTTTTAAATGACTGATTAGTGAATGTGATCACAGATTTCTACTTTAAACTCTACAGATTAATTTTAATCTGTATGTTTATATATTTATCAATATCACTTTATTAATTTCACTAATTTCCACATGTTGTTTCACTCACTCATTCCCTCACCAAATTTCGTTACTGATGTGTAGTACTCTACCTAGTGCTGACATGGAGGGAGGGAGAGAAGCACCAGAATGTGTTGTTGGGGGGAAATTGGTAGAATACACAATAATTCATTTACCATCTCTTTCTTATACCATGTCACTTTCCAGGAGAGAAGTTTATATAAGCATTGCTGGTATTTCTCATATAATTTTTCTGTTACAGTCATTTTCACATAGTGCCCCTGACTTAATAGGTATTGCATACTTTACACCCATTGAAAATTGCTGTCTTGTATCAATGGGTGTGCTGCATTTTTATTTATTTATTTATTTATTTATTTATTTATTTATTTATTTTGTTTCCTCTTTTTTATTTACTTTTTTAAATTTATTTTTTATTGATTATGCCATTACAGTTGTTCTATTCCCCCCTTCATTCCCCTCCACACGACCCACCATCCCCACCATTACCCCCCCTTTAGTTTATGACCATGTGTCTCAAGCAAGTTCTTTAGATTCTATATTTCCCATACTATTCTTGCCCCCCCCATCTGTTTTCTATCTACTGTCTATGCTACTTATTTTCTGTACCTTCTCCCTCCTTCTCCTCCATATTTTAAAAATGCATAGGAGAGGAGTGCATGCATTTTTAAAATATGCAATACCTATTAAGTCAGGGGCCCTGGATCTCTTTTTCCTTTAGACTGTCAATAAATGACAACAGTCAACACAACAATAGCCGCTCAGTGTGAATGAATCAAACTTATACCTATTCTTTGTCAGATCAGGAAAAAATACACTTTTTGGTGTGCTGCAGAATTTTACTAATCAGTTTATGTATGCTGTGAGATTAAAACAAGGATGAAAATTGCTATACTAACATAACAGAAATGATGAGTTATGGCTAAAACTAAGTAGCTCTCAAAACAACACAAGCTGATTTTCATACAGTCTGTTCGGGTATACAACCGAACTGCGCACACCATTCACTGAGTGGAGACTGTAGGACAGAAATAGGATATTTATGAGAACTTCATGAATACCTGAATGGCTGGAAAAATGATTCAATTTAGTGTTACCTGGGTGGGGATCTGTATAATCCACAGTGTATCCTTCAAGCTGCATTAATTCTTGTGGTTCAGACTTTTTTTCTCTGTAACTGCACATAGCAAAGGTGTACTGGCTAACCTGCATGAAAAAAATATTTGCAGACTGGTTGCATTAAATTTATCTTTTAGATTTTTCTTCATCAGAAGACTGACCAAATAAAAAACATTATTTTCATTTAAAGTACTAAATGTTAGCACGTTTCAAAACTTAGATCCAAGATTAAAGCACCTTTCATCTGTCAGCTTGCAGCGTGATCTTGCAACCATAATCCACCATTTCTCAAATTAGTGATCCACCAGTCAAGAGTCTGAGATGTTAACAGAAGACCCATAAAAAAGTATTCATGTTAGAAACAAGTTTAGGGATCACTGGGCTAAATAAAGACAAGGGGGCTTCTTTCTCTGTAGGTTAATATGCTAATAATACACCCTGTGAATCTCTTGGAGAGAGAATATTAAGAACAATCTCAAACTTCTAAGATAATAGAACATCACTTTCAGTGTACTTATTTCAAGACTTTCAAGTGAAAAAGATCTCAACAAAGGTTGAGAATTTACTGGCACACATCCCAAACCCACAGGAAGGTCCAGAGTGAAATAAATTTTAGGTAGCCAGGGACTTAACATGGCCAAGATCTGCTCTGTCTCCATTCTACTGTCCTGGTGGATCTGGCTCCCTGTTCTTGAGCTGAAGTCTCGCTGAACTAGATCACAGCTGCAGACAGCTCCGCAGTCACCACACTGCCTGCTCCAGTTTGGGTCATCAGGCCATTTTTGGATCAACCACCACAGCCAAAGGGCTACAAAAGTACCAGCATTAGCCCAGTTTGGCTCAAGAGCTCACCTCTCTGGCAGACAATGTTGAATGCTACAATAGGCGGGCCCTTAGACATTCCCCCAAAATAGAGAGGAGGAGATGCTGTTCCCAGCTGGAGAAAAAGAATGTTCGGTGGATTAATAAATATCTGAATTGCGAAATGCCCTACGACACCAGGGTTCCATGGAAAAGTTTGTGTTTTGTGAATTTTATCTCTTTCCACTTTTAATCACGAGATGACACTAAGGAAACATAAGAACCTCTCTCAACAGACAAATGTACTTAAAGAGGACTCAAAAGAGCTAATTATGAAAGAAAAAAAATGATTACATGGACTACATTAAAATGAATAAATTCTCCTTTTTTAAAGAATACCGCGAAAAAAAGTAAAAATGCAATGCGACAGATTGAGAGCAGAAACTGAGGCTCCCTAGAGAAGAGGATATTGTGCAGCATAAACTCCTGCCTAAGTTTCCAGCCTGCTGGCTGGCATCTCTGGAGAACCCAGACTGATACCAAAAGCTTTACTATTCATTATGTTTTCCCTCGGATCCAGCAAATCTTCCAAAAACTTATTCCAAGGAAAAAAGATGGACAAGTATGTAAAGGTGAATGTGCACTGTGTGCACTGCAGCACGGCATGTAAGGAAAGCCAACAATGGTTTAGTTAAATACTTTATGGCATTACCACACAGTCTAATGCTACAGGGCCATTAAGAGATATAATAGATTTTTTTCTGGAAATGAAATATTTCCATGTTATGTTATGTTATAACATAAATAGAAGGTTAAAAACAAAAATATAGAGTGTGATCTTATGGTAAAAGCTATACATCCACATAAATAAGATATATTAAAATATTAATAGTTATTACTGGGTGGTAAAATTATATGTTGTTTTGAATTATTTTTCCGTGTTTTGAGGTTTCAAAGAATTTACAGTTACTATGAATTTATTAAAGTACAGCTCTTTCCATTATGGGGGGGGCAGAAAGGCTTGTTTGGAAAGAGTGAGGCCAATAACTTGAGACACCTGTGGTTCCTGATACTGTGAAGTTTTCCTTTTCTCTCCTCATCTCGCAGGCTGTCAATGAATTTACTATTTCACCTGCTTATGCCTAAGGCTTACAGATGAAACCCAGTAGCTCCCATGGGGGTTGTTACTACCAAAGGCTTCAGTTTCCTTGTGTAAAAAGGTATGATTGTGGGTTTCTTCCTGGGGGGCGGGTGGTGTGCAGTAAACAGTAACATCACATTCTATTATTTACTTTAAAAAAACTCATTCTCTTACTTAAGGACAGTAAATTATTCCAGTCCCACTCTTCTTCCATAAAGTGATTTAACACAGTGTCATCTTGAACACATTTTCAAATATTTCGAACTTAAATAGAAGTAAAATAATGTTCTAACATATATATATCCATCAGCCAGCTATTTTAAGTCATAAGTTTTTGTATATTTATATGCTCTAAGTTTTTTAAATAACAGATACATTTAATGCCTATATATATATATCTAATCGAACCCATTTCCTCTCTCTTCCCACAGAGGTTATCACCATGCTGAATATTTTGTTTATTATTTCCATGCATGTTTTAAAACTTTTATTACATATAAGTTCTTTTATTTAGTCCCTGAACCCAATTCCAGTGTGTATGTATGTGTGTGAAGTTTCCACACCAACAACAAGCAGTGCTCTGGACACCAAATGGGTGTCCTACAATTTAATTCTGACATTATCTATAATTCCACAGGTTAAGGGTTCAATTCTCCTACAAGACTGTCCCCAACCCTTCCAGATACCAGTCTCAAGCCCAAGTTGTTGCCTGTACTCCTGACTGACCAACTACAGACTGGAGGTTCCCACAACACTCCTTGTACACAAACCCAAGTGATTTGCCTGTACTTCTGACTGGCTGGCTATACATCAGAACTTTCGATGACCTGCTCCTGCCTTGGGTTAGATTATTTGGCTAGACTGGCTCACAGAACTCATCAAAACATTTTACTTACTAGATTACTAGTTTATTATAAAAGTATATAACTCCAAAACAATCAGATGGAAGAGATGCACAGGACAAGGTATTGGAAAAGGGCAGGAACCTCTCTCTCCCTGTCCAGGTCTCTGCAAGTCTTCCCAGGTCCCCACATGTTCACCAACCTGAAAGCTCTTTAAACCTCCTCCTTTTCATTTTTTATGGAGGTTTCGCAATACACAGACATGGCTGGTTAAATCATTGGCCACTGGAGATTGACAATCTCTAGCCCCTCTCCCCTCCTCCAAGGTCAGGGAGTGGGGCTGAAAGTGCAGTCCCTCTAATCATGTGGTTTGTTCTCCTGACAACCAGTCTCCATCCTTGGGTGGGGTCTAGAAGTCATTTATTAACATAACAAAAAAATGTATTTTCATTCTCATTACTTAAGATGTGCCAAGGGTTTTAGAAGCTCTGTGCTAGAATGACAATGAAGACCAAATACAGGCAGATCTCCTTTTATTCTGCTTCACAGAAATGGCAGTTGTTACAAACTGAAGGCAAGACCCTCCACCAGCTTGCAAGACTCATTTTATTATGGTGGTTAGGAAATGAACCTACAATACCTCCCAGATATGCTTATATCTATTTCTTATTATAAATCACCATATCACATAACAAAATCGATAAATAAAATCCAACTATTTATCACACATTTAAAAAACTTGACATAAATTAAGCATATACATTCTTCTGTAACCTTATTATCTCCCAAATCAACATGTTTAACCATTTTGATACCTATTCCATTACTCGAATTGTCCCCCTTTATCCAATGTCCTAGTCATAGCCAGTTTCTTCCACTTGCCCTTATAAATAATTCCACAATGGGCATTCTGGCACAAATCTCACCCACCGTAGAGAGAGCTAGGGAAGGACGACACGGAGGAGTGGAATCACTAGGGTGAAGGGCACACCGACCTTCACTGTTGTTAGATACAGCCAAACTACTTCCTGATTTATACACCCACCAGTGGTATATAGGAGCTCCCTCCTCACGTTACACACCTGGGTTGTTTTGATATTTTTATTTATTTAAAATATTTATTCATTTATTTGCCAATTTTGTTGAGTAGGAAATGGTATCTTGCTGTTAGAATGACAAGTTCCATCACCAACAGGGCTGAGCATTTCCTGTATTTTTATTAGTCACTTGGGGGTTCTTTTTCTATGGTTTTCCTGATCAGTTTGCTTATTTTGTAATGTATAACTTGGTCATTCATAACCTCATTTCAAATCAATTTTGCCAGAGGTTTACTTTTTTGAATTCTTGTGAAGAATATCTTTGTATTTTATTAATCCTTTTTATTGTTTCTTTGTAATTTCTGCTATCTTTATTTAAGCTCTCCCTTTTTTGGGAGGGGGGTTAACTTTTTAAATGAATTTTAATTAATCTACAGTTTATTCATTTTCAGTTGTTCATGGTAGATATGTGCATTTAAGTACATTCTAAGTTCACAATAGCTTCATTTCATAATTCATGTATTTTCATTAGTTTATGTCTAAATATTTCTTATCTTGCTCATTTCTTTTCTACCCATGGGCTATTTCCAAACGTACTTTTAAATTTGGATTTGTAGTTATATTTTTCTTATTGAGTTTTAAAGTAATTACATTCTATTTAGGATGATTCAATAGTTTAGGTATTTCTGTGACCTGCTCTGTTGCCTAGTGCACGACCAGTTTTTATTAATATTCTCTTATTTGCTTAAAAAGCAAGCATCTTTTGCAATTATTGTCCAGTGATTATTTATGTCCATTAGATCAAATTTACTAATTGTGTTGACAACCATTCTGCATCTTTCTAATGCTTCTTCTGATGTGTGGTTTACTGAGAGATATGCAAACCTGTCCCAACAAGGCTGTCCACCTCTGAGTTCTCCATACAGTTCTCTCAAATGTTGCTTTATAGTATTTTTAATGATTTTTAAAAATATTTTATTTACTTATCTTTAGAGGGGAAGGGAAGGAGAGAGGGAGAGAAACATCAGTGTGTGGTTGCCTCTCACGTGGCCCCTACTGGGAACTGGTCTGCAACCCAGGCATGTGCCCTGAATGGGAATCGAACCACAATCCTTAGGTTCACAGGCCTGTGCTCAATCCACTGAGCTACTGCTTTATATATTTTTGAAGATATATAATCTCACACATATGTGCTTAGGGTTGTTATATTTTTCTAGAACTGTTCTGTCTTGCTGGTGGATTGTTCCATTTATATTCATGCACTGG